TCTCACTTCTGTTTATAAAATTAATGCTCACTACTAAAATCTGAAAGCACATAAAAGTAGAACATGGTGACAAAAAACATAACAAACTGCTCTTGATCAGAGGTAGAAAAGCCCTGCTGTTACCAGAACTGGCTTAGGTACTTTTGCTCTACTCAGATGGAAAACTTGAGTGAGAAAGGAGCTCTTCAGATGTTCTGGGTCCTTGAGTGTCAAAGTCTTATGGTCTGGACTGACAGACTCTACAGTTTATGGCTACAAGTTCAGGAAACTACAGGCTTACAGCTTTTGGGGCGCTATCGTCCAGAGATCTATTGCTCTGGGTATGCAAAGTGGAAGCTTATTACTCTGGGGTTTGATTGCCAGTAGTCCAGTACTCAGGAGCAAGTGTAATCTTGGCTCTTAGCTGGAGGCAGCAGCAGCAGCAGCAGCAGGAATCAGTGCAAACTAGTGTGACTCCCAAGCTTATCTGTTGGGACCTGCAGCTAGTGTTACAGCTTTTGAGTTATAGATGATAAGATCCCTTGGTCCTTACAGCAGTTAATTTTCTTGGGCCCAGGAACTTGGGACACTTGACTTAAAGGGCTTGGAGGCTCCCTGGAAATAGTGACCAGGGCTATTTTTACATAGTCAAACACCTTTAAAATAATTTTTTACAGTTAAAAAGTTCAGGAAACGGGGCTGGAGAGATGTCTCAGTGGTTAAGAGCATTGGCTGCTCTTGTAGAGAACACAGGTTCAGTTCCCAGCACCCACACGGCAGCTAACAACTGTAACTCCAGTTCCAGAGGATCCGACACCGTCTTCGGACCTCCACGGGCATTGCACAACACGGATACACTTACATATCTACAGACAATACACTCATATACATAAAATAAAAATAAATAAAATATTTTTAAGCTCAGGAAATGTAAACATCAGTGAATAATTTCAAACATTTATAGTTACATATCCTGCATATAACTATAAAAGTGACCCTGGCTTAATAGTCTTTAAATTTTTGTTTATTTATTTTTTTGGTGTGTGTATGTGTATGTGTGTGCACAGGCATGAATACATTTACCATCAAGGCCAAAAGAGGGAGTCAGATCCCTTGAATGTGGGTGTCAGGAACTAAACTCAAATCCTCTAGAAGAGCAGCAAGTGCTCTTAACTGCCGAGCCTCACTCCAGCTCCCTGACTTAATCTTTATATATAAATACAAAAATTGAACCAGAACTGATCAGTAAAAATATTAAGATCCTAAATTTGAGGGACTGGAGAGATGGCTCAGTGATTAAGAGCACTGGTTGCTCTTGCAGAGGACTCAGGTTGAGTTCTCAGCACCCATATGGCTGCTAACAATCACCTCTAACTCCAATTCCAGGGGCTCTGATGCCCACTTCTGGCCTCCACAAGCATTGCTAACAGGTGATGCAACTACGTATATGCAGGCAAAATATAAAATAAAAATAAACTTAAATTTTAAAAATCCTAATATTTGTAGGTGGTAGAGAAACATGAGAAATAGAACATATTTGGATGCTTTGTCTTCTTGAACTCAAACTTTAATAGGGAAAATAGATTTTAAAAAATATTTGGCCATCCTAGACCATGAATCACGGGACTTGAGATTTCCTTAATCTTTCAGTTGATGCCCTAGCAGTATGGCAGTAAGGAGATCACAGAACCAAGTGGTGTCTAGGAATGTGTGCTTCCATTATTCTGTGTTTCTTCTCAATCTCTGAAGTTCTTAAGAATATCCCAGGACTTTCACAACCTCACGACGTGTCCAAATCCACCACTGTCTTCAGACGGAAATCAGCAAGGTCCAGAATGTGGATGGAGGAGAGTGGATGGCAAACGATTCTCTCCAGACAGTGTTTTCTGTAGTGCCAGGTGCCTCTGCTTGCTGTACTTTAGCAAATGCTCCAGAGAGGTGACAGGTAAGGAAGAAAGCAGCCTGGGAACACTGTGCCTGCATCTGCTCCAAAAAATCCTGCTGCTGCTCTGAAACATTGGGGTTGCTAGCCTCTGATCCCTCCCCTGGCTGTCACAAAAGAGAAAACGAATGGTATTCTGAGGAACTCACGTTAGTTACTTTTCTCATCAATATGACCTAACCTTCTAAAACAATCCCTGCCACCTGGGGATCAAGTTTTCAAGCACAGGAGCCTGTGAAGGTATTTCACATTCAAAGTAAAGCACAGCAAAAACCAAGGAAACCAGAAATAGTGATTTCTTTGTGTATGACATGTACGTGTAGGGGAGCGTGGGTGTGGGGTATGTCCAGAGATGATGACAATAATAATAATCCTAGTAACTTAAAAGTCTTTATAAAGAAAAGAACAAGAGGAAAAAAATCCCATTTCTCTCCTCAAACAATTCCTCTGACAGTCCTTAGCCTTCAAAGAAAGCTACACATAGAACCTTCTGGAAAGGGGCAAACAGGTCAGGCGCTCCAGCATGCTATAGTACCCAGAATATTAGGATTACTCTCCTAAGTATTGCCATTACCACCACAGGTATATTATTGCTGGAGAATTTTTCTTCAACCTGAAAATCCCCACAATGTATCACTGTAAATCAGATAAACTGTAATTACCCCACAAACAACGTACTGTGTA